GGCAGGTACATCATGGTATATATATGTGGGCAGGTGCATGTTGGGCAGGTACATCATGGTATATATATGTGGGCAGGTACATGTTGGGCAGGTACATGATGGTATATATATGTGGGCAGGTGCATGTTGGGCAGGTACATCATGGTATATATATGTGGGCAGGTACATGTTGGGCAGGTACATCATGGTATATATATGTGGGCAGGTGCATGTTGGGCAGGTACATCATGGTATATATATGTGGGCAGGTACATGTTGGGCAGGTACATGATGGTATATATATGTGGGCAGGTGCATGTTGGGCAGGTACATCATGGTATATATATGTGGGCAGGTACATGTTGGGCAGGTACATGATGGTATATATATGTGGGCAGGTACATGTTGGGCAGGTACATCATGGTATATATATGTGGGCAGGTGCATGTTGGGCAGGAACATGTTGGGCAGGTACTCTCTTGTGTGTGTGTGTGTGGCCACCTGGTGATGGTAGAGCTCTCTTGGTGTGTGTCTGTGTGGCCACCTGGTGATGGTAGAGCTCTCTTGGTGTGTGTCTGTGTGTGTGGCCACCTGGTGATGGTAGAGCTCTCTTGGTGTGTGTCTGTGTGGCCACCTGGTGATGGTAGAGCTCTCTTGGTGTGTGTGTGTGTGTGTGGCCACCTGGTGATGGTAGAGCTTCTTGGTGTGTGTCTGTGTGGCCACCTGGTGATGGTAGAGCTCTCTTGTTGTGTGTGGCCACCTGGTGATGGTAGAGCTCTCTTGGTGTGTGTCTGTGTGGCCACCTGGTGATGGTAGAGCTCTCTTGTTGTGTGTGGCCACCTGGTGATGGTAGAGCTCTCTTGGTGTGTGTCTGTGTGGCCACCTGGTGATGGTAGAGCTCTCTTGTTGTGTGTCTGTGTGGTTATCTGGTGATGGTAGAGCTCTCTTGTTGTGTGTGGCCACCTGGTGATGGTAGAGCTCTCTTGGTGTGTGTCTGTGTGGCCACCTGGTGATGGTAGAGCTCTCTTGTTGTGTGTGGCCACCTGGTGATGGTAGAGCTCTCTTGGTGTGTGTCTGTGTGGCCACCTGGTGATGGTAGAGCTCTCTTGGTGTGTGTCTGTGTGGACACAAGGTGATGGTAGAGCTCTCTTGGTGTGTGTCTGTGTGGCCACCTGGTGATGGTAGAGCTCTCTTGTTGTGTGTGGCCACCTGGTGATGGTAGAGCTCTCTTGTTGTGTGTCTGTGTGGCCACCAGGTGATGGTAGAGCTCTCTTGGTGTGTGTCTGTGTGGCCACCTGGTGATGGTAGAGCTCTCTTGGTGTGTGTCTGTGTGGCCACCTGGTGATGGTAGAGCTCTCTTGGTGTGTGTCTGTGTGGCCACCTGGTGATGGTAGAGCTCTCTTGTTGTGTGTGTGTGTGGCCACCTGGTGATGGTAGAGCTCTCTTGTTGTGTGTGTGTGTGGCCACCTGGTGATGGTAGAGCTCTCTTGTTGTGTGTGTGTGTGGCCACCTGGTGATGGTAGAGCTCTCATGGTGTGTGTCTGTGTGGCCATCTGGTGATGGTAGAGCTCTCTTGGTGTGTGTGTGTGTGGCCACCTGGTGTGTGGGAACCGACCTGTGAGATTTATATTTATTTAATTTATATGAATTTATATTTACGTTAATTTATATACTTCGATAGCAATTTGTATAATGATAAGTGGACTGTATTTCTGCAATAATCTCATAATCTCACAAATCGATCCTCTACACATTAGGCGGGGTTTATTAAATTTATATATATGCAGCCAATCAAACTACAGTATTAGACTACATACACTGAAAAGGTTCCTTATCTTATAGTACAGCAGGCCTTAAGTCCACCAGGTATAACTAGGATGTAGACACCAAATTATCCTCTTTGAGGTAGCTTCCATCACCCAGTAACTGGTGCACAAAGTCTTCCTCGTCTTGACCTGTCAAAAGGGCGCTAGCTGTAAAGCCAGATTCTATATATGACAAGCTATATCAGAGAAAACACTATACATGGAACATGAAGACCTGGCTTAATTACCTTTAGTTTGAGGCTGCCTCGCGTTCTAACCGGATCACCCTACCCAATGACATTAATGGCCACTAATGATAGATATACGGGTTTTGGAAAGAACACTTAACTTGATTTGTTGACAGCGTGTTGAAGATGGTACACCTTTGGTTTCCATAACACTACGTCCAAGTAAAATTAACAGGAGCCGTATTTGATCCTGTGAGCCTCTGGTCTAGTATCAACAATGGCAATGTCTAACACTCCATACTATTGACGCTACTGGCCGACATTGTCCAGATATGATAGGAGCCGAATTTGCTCCACACGTCTCGGAGGTGACACAACAATGGCTGCCCTCCTTCCCCACTCTGACGCCTGGCTTACATTGTCCACATGACAGAAAGTGATAGAAGGGTCACATTTACTCTACTTTAATATTGATAATTAAGTTAATTTATATGAGATGTTTTATGATGGTAAAGTCCAAAGAGAATAATTCCCAGCAGAATAGCTGGTGAATTTATAATGGTATGTGGTGATGATATCCCGTTTTCTTTAGACGGTAATTCCATTACAAGTTACGTTTTCTATGGGTTAACTTGTTTATACAACACAGCTCTTATGTCTGTCTGTATGTTATATTAAATGGTGTCGGATATTCCGACATGGTGATGGTAGAGCTCTCTTGGTGTGTTTGGCCACCTGGTGATGGTAGAGCTCTCTTGGTGTGTGTGTGTGTGGCCACCTGGCGATGGTAGAGCTCTCTTGGTGTGTGTGGCCACCTGGTGATGGTAGAGCTCTCTTGTTGTGTGTCTGTGTGGCCACCTGGTGATGGTAGAGCTCTCTTGGTGTGTGTGACCACCTGGTGATGGTAGAGCTCTCTTGGTGTGTGTGTGTGTGGCCACCTGGTGATGGTAGAGCTCTCTTGGTGTGTGTGGCCACGTGGTGATGGTAGAGCTCTCTTGGTGTGTCTGTGTGGCCACCTGGTGATGGTAGAGCTCTCTTGGTGTGTGTCTGTGTGGCCACCTGGTGATGGTAGAGCTTTCTTGGTGTGTGTGGCCACCTGGTGATGGTAGAGCTCTCTTGGTGTGTTTCTGTGTGGCCACCTGGTGATGGTAGAGCTCTCTTGGTGTGTCTGTGTGGCCACCTGGTGATAGTAGAGCTCTCTTGGTGTGTGTCTGTGTGGCCACCTGGTGATGGTAGAGCTCTCTTGGTGTGTGTGTGTGTGGCCACCTGGTGATGGTAGAGCTCTCTTGGTGTGTGTGTGTGTGGCCACCTGGTGATGGTAGAGCTCTCTTGTTGTGTGTCTGTGTGGCCACCAGGTGATGGTAGAGCTCTCTTGGTGTGTGTCTGTGTGGCCACCTGGTGATGGTAGAGCTCTCTTGTTGTGTGTGTGTGTGGCCACCTGGTGATGGTAGAGCTCTCTTGGTGTGTGTCTGTGTGGCCACCTGGTGATGGTAGAGCTCTCTTGTTGTGTGTCTGTGTGGCCACCTGGTGATGGTAGAGCTCTCTTGGTGTGTGTCTGTGTGGCCACCTGGTGATGGTAGAGCTCTCTTGGTGTGTGTCTGTGTGGCCACCTGGTGATGGTAGAGCTCTCATGGTGTGTATCTGTGTGGCCACCTGGTGATGGTAGAGCTCTCTTGGTGTGTGTGGCCACCTGGTGATGGTAGAGCTCTCTTGGTGTGTGTCTGTGTGGCCACCTGATGATGGTAGAGCTCTCTTGGTGTGTGTCTGTGTGGCCACCTGGTGATGGTAGAGCTCTCTTGGTGTGTGTCTGTGTGGCCACCTGGTGATGGTAGAGCTCTATTGTTGTGTGTGGCCACCTGGTGATGGTAGAGCTCTCTTGGTGTGTGTCTGTGTGGCCACCTGGTGATGGTAGAGCTCTCTTGGTGTGTGTGGCCACCTGGTGATGGTAGAGCTCTCTTGTTGTGTGGCCGCCTGGTGATGGTAGAGCTCTCTTGGTGTGTGTCTGTGTGGCCACCTGGTGATGGTAGAGCTCTCTTGGTGTGTGTCTGTGTGTGGCCACCTGGTGATGGTAGAGCTCTCTTGGTGTGTGTCTGTGTGGCCACCTGGTGATGGTAGAGCTCTCTTGGTGTGTGTGGCCACCTGGTGATGGTAGAGCTCTCTTGGTGTGTGTCTGTGTGGCCACCTGGTGATGGTAGAGCTCTCTTGGTGTGTGTCTGTGTGGCCAGCTGGTGATGGTAGAGCTCTATTGGTGTGTGTGGCCACCTGGTGATGGTAGAGCTCTCTTGGTGTGTGTCTGTGTGGCCACCTGGTGATGGTAGAGCTCTCTTGTTGTGTGTCTGTGTGGCCAGCTGGTGATGGTAGAGCTCTCTTGGTGTGTGTCTGTGTGGCCACCTGGTGATGGTAGAGCTCTCTTGTTGTGTGTGGCCACCTGGTGATGGTAGAGCTCTCTTGGTGTGTGTCTGTGTGGCCACCTGGTGATGGTAGAGCTCTCTTGTTGTGTGTGGCCACCTGGTGATGGTAGAGTTCTCTTGTTGTGTGTCTGTGTGGCCAATTGAGATCAAGCACTGATAGTTTTGGGTTGGAACTCGTTGATGTTTTCCATATTGACGTCGCTGTCTTAACAATCAATGTCTGTAATCAACCCGTTAGGTATTCCTTCTCCTAACTGAGTGTTCTCTCAGGAACTCCAGACTTGTCGTCCAAACCTTCTAATGTGCCACTGTGTCGAGGGCTTCACGACAGTCACACAAAATACAGTCAACCTCTCCTTACTCATCCTGGCGGACCATGAACCTCAAGGAGGGTCTCCATGGACGATTGGCCTTCACTGAGCCACACGTTATTGAATTATTTCCTGACTGTCGTGTCAAGCACCATGCATGGCAAAGCTGATAAACTCAACGCATGCCAAGACTCTCGAGGTAAGACTGTCAGGCACCCTGCATGACAAGGCTATGCACAGCGTTGCATATCTCTTTTTCATGCCTACGACTATATTCATGCAATGTGACTAATTTGCATACGGCAGATGGCTCGCTAAAGCTATTCAAGATGCAGCAGCTCTCGGAGCAATGGGCACACGTCCCGGGTCAGTTAACCGAGTGACACTCCACTGTAGGTCCTCCTCGGACATGGCGCTCTCAGAGTCGAGGTTCACCTTCCCATTAAATGCAAATTAAGCAAGAGGACTCTCCCCCCCCCCTCTCTCTCTCTCTCTCTCTCTCTCTCTCTCTCTCTCTCTCTCTCTCTCTCTCTCTCTCTCTCTCTCTCTCTCTCTCTCTCTCTCTCTCTCTCTCTCTCTCTCTCTCTCTCTCTCATCTCCTCATAGCAATTTATCGTGTGATTTAATAGGCTTGAATGAAGCCTATGGTTTTATGGTCAATAGAATGCCCAGGCGCTCAATAGGATGCCCAGGCGCTCAATAGGATGCCCAGGCGCTCAATAGGATGCCCAGGCGCTCAATAGGATGCCCAGGCGCTCAATAGGATGCCCAGGCGCTCAATAGGATGCCCAGGCGCTCAATAGGATGCCCAGGCGCTCAATAGGATGCCCAGGCGCTCAATAGGATGCCCAGGCGCTCAATAGGATGCCCAGGCGCTCAATAGGATGCTCAGGTAATCACATGTGCTCCGTCAATGGGACAGGTAATAATCAGACTCCACATTCACACAAATATCTGTCACCAGAACAGGCAGGAAAACATAAGAAATGGATGACCAAAATGGCCGCCGTTTGTGGGTGTAGACACACAAGCCAGGACTCGGGCAAGTGTTCCTGTCAAGGGTCTCCACACATGGGTGCAAGGAATACCCAGGGCACTGGTACTGGCACCTGGCCAGTGCCCGTGCGAGGTGGGTACTGGCGGATGGCGTCGCGCGGTTGAAGCTGGCGTCACGAGGCGACGCCTGGCGCCATGGGGAATGGCCCCCCCATGGCAGGGGTTCGATATCCCTAAAACAGGAAACTGGCAGATGAAATGGCAAGGGCCAAGAACTAGAGCTGGATGCTGAAGACTCGAATAGATGAGAGCAAGTATGTGAGAATACACACACACACACACACACACACACACACACACACACACACACACACACACACACACACACACACACACACACACACACACACACACATCACTGAGGTTTTTGCATTGTTTTATGCGCAGGAAATATTTCTGGCGGGTAGTGAACGGTCTCACAAGTTTTAGGAAACATTTACCGAGACAAGGAGAGGATGTTCCTCCTCTCTACTTAAGTGTTTTACTGTGTTGCTGCAGAGGTGGTGAGTGCTCCCGCTGCTGAGTGAGGGAGAGAGGGAGGGAAGGAGGGAGAGTGAGGGAGGGAGAGTGAGGGAGGGAGAGTGAGGGAGGGAGGGAGGGAGAGAGAGAGAGGATTGTATAATGATTGGACAATCATTATACAGTGAATGGTTGGACAATTACATTACAATGAGTGGTTGGCGAATAACATTACAATGATTTGTTGGTCAAGAACATTGCAATGAGTGGTTGGACAATAACATTATAACGAGTTATATATTATATATATATATATATATATATATATATATATATATATATATATATATATATATATATATATATATATATATATATATATATATATATGAAATGTCCGCATAAAGGTAAGAATTTTATCTTTCGAAGTATATAGAGAATTAATGATGAAGCAAATGCTCCTTTTTTGATAAAATTCTCATTCAAGATTCAAAAGTTATGAATTTCCGTTTTCTTTGAGGGGAACACCTCAGATCTTCAGGGCCAAGCGTGACAGATTACTCTGTTGTCACTTTTACTTAACTGGCGATTACTTTGGGGAGTAGGAGACGGAAAACGGGGCGAAGGAAGGAAGGAACTGAGTTAGGAAGAAGAAGAGAACGAGAGGGGAAAGGATAGAGACTGAGGGATAAAGGATAGTCATTGGTTACATGATGACTATTTAGTTTTGTGTTTAAATAACTACAATGTGCTACACTGCACTTATAGGCAAGCACTAACAGGTGGGAGGTGACGTAGTATCGTGCGGATATGAGCTGGTCCCAGCGCTACGAAAAGGGTCTAAGACCTGGGAAATTATTTACCTCTCTATGGCATCGCTACGCTTTCAACAAACTTAACTTAACCTCTCCTAACCCATCGTAACTTAGACCAACCCAACCTAACTTAACCCGTCCCACTCACCCCCGCCAGTGATTTGGTCTGTGTTCCAGTCCTTGCCATATAGGATTGACTGGGTACCAATCCTTTATTATTCACCTCTGTTCACCCAGCAGTAATTCACCCAGAACATACGTACACTTCCTGTAGGTAGTGTACACACATTATCTGCCCATAGTACATGTACATTGTTATTGTTCTGATGGCTGGTTGGTGTGTGTTGTGATGGCTGGTTGGTGTGTGTTGTGATGGCTGGTTGGTGTGTGTTGTGATGGCTGGTTGGTGTGTGTTGTGATGGCTGGTTGGTGTGTGTTGTGATGGCTGGTTGGTGTGTGTTGTGATGGCTGGTTGGTGTGTGTTGTGATGGCTGGTTGGTGTGTGTTGTGATGGCTGGTTGGTGTTTGTTGTGATGGCTGGTTGGTGTTTGTTCTGATGGCTGGTTGGTGTGTGTTGTGATGGCTGGTTGGTATGTGTTGTGATGGCTGGTTGGTGTGTGTTGTGATGGCTGGTTGGTGTGTGTTGTGATGGCTGGTTGGTGTGTGTTGTGATGGCTGGTTGGTGTGTGTTGTGATGGCTGGTTGGTGTTTGTTGTGATGGCTGGTTGGTGTTTGTTCTGATGGCTGGTTGGTGTGTGTTGTGATGGCTGGTTGGTGTGTGTTGTGATGGCTGGTTGGTGTGTGTTGTGATGGCTGGTTGGTGTGTGTTGTGATGGCTGGTTGGTGTGTGTTGTGATGGCTGGTTGGTGTTTGTTCTGATGGCTGGTTGGTGTGTGTTGTGATGGCTGGTTGGTGTGTGTTGTGATGGCTGGTTGGTGTGTGTTGTGATGGCTGGTTGGTGTTTGTTGTGATAGCTGGTTGGTGTGTGTTGTGATGGCTGGTTGGTGTGTGTTGTGATGGCTGGTTGGTGTGTGTTGTGATGGCTGGTTGGTGTGTGTTGCGATGGCTGGTTGGTGTGTGTTGAGATGGCTGGTTGGTGTGTGTTGTGATGGCTGGTTGGTGTGTGTTGTGATGGCTGGTTGGTGTGTGTTGTGATGGCTGGTTGGTGTGTGTTGTGATGGCTGGTTGGTGTGTGTTGTGATGGCTGGTTGGTGTGTGTTGTGATGGCTGGTTGGTGTTGTGATGGCTGGTTGGTGTGTGTTGTGATGGCTGGTTGGTGTGTGTTGTGATGGCTGGTTGGTGTGTGTTGTGATGGCTGGTTGGTGTGTGTTGTGATGGCTGGTTGGTGTGTGTTGTGATGGCTGGTTGGTGTGTGTTGTGATGGCTGGTTGGTGTGTGTTGCGATGGCTGGTTGGTGTTTGTTGTGATGGCTGGTTGGTGTTTGTTGTGATGGCTGGTTGGTGTGTGTTGTGATGGCTGGTTGGTGTTTGTTGTGATGGCTGGTTGGTGTGTGTTGTGATGGCTGGTTGGTGTGTGTTGTGATGGCTGGTTGGTGTTTGTTCTGATGGCTGGTTGGTGTGTTTTGTGATGGCTGGTTGGTGTGTGTTGTGATGGCTGGTTGGTGTGTGTTGTGATGGCTGGTTCGTGTGTGTTCTGATGGCTGGTTCGTGTGTGTTGTGATGGCTGGTTGGTGTTTGTTCTGATGGCTGGTTGGTGTTTGTTCTGATGGCTGGTTGGTGTGTGTTGTGATGGCTGGTTGGTGTTTGTTCTGATGGCTGGTTGGTGTGTGTTGTGATGGCTGGTTGGTGTGTGTTGTGATGGCTGGTTGGTGTGTGTTGTGATGGCTGGTTGGTGTTTGTTCTGATGGCTGGTTGGTGTGTGTTGTGATGGCTGGTTGGTGTGTGTTGTGATGGCTGGTTGGTGTGTGTTCTGATGGCTGGTTGGTGTGTGTTGTGATGGCTGGTTGGTGTGTGTTGTGATGGCTGGTTGGTGTTTGTTGTTATGGCTGGTTGGTGTGTGTTGTGATGGCTGGTTGGTGTGTGTTGTGATGGCTGGTTGGTGTGTGTTGTGATGGCTGGTTGGTGTGTGTTGTGATGGCTGGTTGGTGTTTGTTGTGATGGCTGGTTGGTGTGTGTTGTGATGGCTGGTTGGTGTGTGTTGTGATGGCTGGTTGGTGTGTGTTGTGATGGCTGGTTGGTGTGTGTTCTGATGGCTGGTTCGTGTGTGTTGTGATGGCTGGTTGGTGTTTGTTGTGATGGCTGGTTGGTGTGTCTTGTGATGGCTGGTTGGTGTTTGTTCTGATGGCTGGTTGGTGTGTGTTGTGATGGCTGGTTGGTGTGTGTTGTGATGGCTGGTTGGTGTGTGTTGTGATGGCTGGTTGGTGTTGAGTAATTATGTATGTGAGGTAGTTGTAAGTCGTATATCAGCTGTGACAGGTATACTGATGCGGTATATCAGCTGTGACAGGTATACTGATGCGGTATATCAGCTGTGACAGGTATACTGATGCGGTATATCAGCTGTGACAGGTATACTGATGCGGTATATCAGCTGTGACAGGTATAGCGATGTGGTGGGGATTGAACAGTTAATAACACCAATCTTACCCGAGCAGAGCGACATACACAATATAGGATTGTTGACACTATGCCTACTCTTGTTTTATTATTATTTTATATATATATTGTAATATATATGACCATTGAAATTGAGCTTGTTGTCAGTGGGAACACCAAAGAGAGTTTGTTCAGCTCTGCTCGCAGTCTGGAGAATGTTTTTTTCTATTAGATAAATTAGCTTATTTCAAAATATTCTTTAACATGTTGACCAGACCACACACTAGAAAGTGAAGGGACGACGACGTTCCCGGACCATTCTCAAGTCGATTGTGTCATTTAACATGTTTTTTCAATGTTAAGTGTGAGTTTGGTAGTAGATAGTCACATGTGAACTGTTGGGTATTCACAGTGTCGGAATATCTGGGTAAATGATTCAGAAAATGTAGAGTGTATCCTCAGAAAATATTCCAGGCTTCAGGTGTGGCCTGGAATGTGGGAATACATCACTGACAGACAGGTATATATACCAGAGAGGAGTGGACCAGGTATATACACTCCCTTGTGTTAAT